TATATATGTACCACATTTTGTTTAGCCATTCATCTGCTGATGGGCATTTAGGTTGTTTCTGCTTTCGACTATTGTGAATAGTGCTGCAATGAGCATTCATGTACAAATCTCTGAATCTCTGCTCTCAAGTGTTTTGGGTATATGCCTAGGAGTGGAATTGCTGGGTCATGTAGTTTTTGAGGAACCATCACACTTTTCCACAACAGCTGTACCATTTTGCATTCCCACCAACTATGGGTAAGGGTTCCAATTTCCCTCCATTTTTTTTTTTTTTATCTTAGCCATCCTAGTGGGAGTGAAATGGTATCTCATTGTGGTTTTGATTTCCATCTCTCTGATGACTGATGACGCTGAGCATCTTTTCATGTGTTTGGTGGCCATTTGAATGTCCTTTTTGGTGAAGTATCTATTCAAATCCTTTGCCCATTTTATGATTGGGTTATTTGTCTTTTTGTTGCTAGGTTGTCAAAGTTTTATGTATATTTTGGTTATTAGGTTCTTGTTCGATATATGGTTTCTGAAGATACTGTACTGGTTGGTAGCTTTTCACTTCTCTGGTAAAGTCTTTTGATGAACAAAAGTTTGTAATTTTTATGAGGTTCCATTTATTTATTTTGTCTTTTACTGTTTGTGCTTTTGTTATTATATTAGATGATCCATTGTTAAAAACTAGGCGTGACTGCGTTGCCCCTGCTTTTTCTTCTGAGTATTTTATGCTTTGAGTTTGCACATTTAGGTCCTTAATCCATTTTTAATTTGTCTTTTGTGTGTGATGTGAGGCATGGATCCTGTTTCATTTTTTCTGCATGTGGAAGTCCAGTTTTCCCAGCACCATTTATTGAAGAGACTTTTCTTTCCCCATCGAATGGACTTAGACCTGTGTCAAAAATCAGTTGACCATAGGTGTGTGGAGTTATTTCTAGACTCTCAATTCTATCCCATTGTTCTATGTGTCTGTTATTATAGCAGTACTAGGCTGTTTTGGTTACTGTAGCTGTATAGTACGTTTTAAAATTAGGAAGTCGGAGTTCTCCTACTTTGTTCTTCTTTTTCAACGTTGCTTTAGCTATTTGAAGCCTCTTGGGATTTTGTAGGAGCCCTAGTGGCACAGCGGTTAAAGTGTTCGGCTGCTAACTGAAAGGTCGGCTGTTCGAACCCACCACCTGCTCCACGGGATAAACATGTGACAGTCTGCTTCCATAAAGATTTAAAGCCTTGGAAACCCTATGGGTTATCTCCACTGTGGCCTATAGGGTCACTCTGAGTTGGAATTGACTGAATGGCAGTGGGTTTGTTTTGGGTTTTGGTGCCATTTCTTATAAAGTTGATTCGTTTTTCTGTTTCTGTAAAGAAGGCTGTTGGAATTTTGATTGGGATTGTGTTGAGTCTATAGATCACTTTGGGTAGTATTGACATCTTAACAGAATTAAGTCTTCTAATCCATGAACATGGAACGTCTTTCCATTTATTTAAGTCTTCTTTAATCTCTTTCAGCAGTGTTTTATAGTTTTCACTGTATAAGTTCTTCACGTCCCTGGTTAGATTTATTCCTTGGTATTTTATTCTCTTAGAAGTTATTGTTAATGGAATTATTTCCCTAATTTCCCTTTCAGATTTTCATTGCTGGTATATAGAAACCTAACTGTCTTAGTTATCTAGTACTACTATAATGGAAATACCACCAGTGGGTGCCTTTAACAAACAAATTTATTTTCTCACAGTTTAGGAGGCTAGAAATCCAAATTCAGGGCGCCAGCTCTAGAGGAAGACTTTTTCTCTGTCAGCTCTGGAGGAAGGTCCTTGTCTCTCTGAGCTTCTGCTCCTGGGCTTCTTGTGGCTTAGCATCTCTCTTTCCCTCCCTCTCTTCTGCTTGCTTGTTTAATCTCTTTTATACCTCAAAAGAGATTGACTCAAGATACACCCTATGCTGGTCCTCCCTCATTAACATAACAAAGACAACCCATTCCCAAATGGAATTATAACCACAGGCATAGAGGTTAGGATTTACAACACATTTTTTTTTGGGACATAATTCAATCCATATCATTCCACCCTTTGACCCCCTAAAATTCATGTCCTTGCTGCATGCAAAACACATTCACCTCCTCGCATCATCCCAAAAGTCTTAAATCCACTTCAAGTCCAAACTGTCATCTTCTGAATCATCTAAAGCAAATAGGGGTGAGACTTTAGGCATAGTCCATTGTGGGGGAAAATTCCTTTTTATCTTGAGAAACTATTCTTTAAGCCTTCATCTAAAGTGAGAATAACAGCACAATTGGAAGAGCGTAGTCAATGTCACTGAACTGTGCATGTAGAAATTTTTGAAATGGTGTATCTTTGGCTATGTGTATTTTCACAAAAAAAGGTTGAGGAGTTAGAGGGTTGACGTGGGGTTGTTAACCAGTGTCATAAAACAATATGTGTACTACTGTTTCATGAGAAACTATTTGTTCTGTAAGCCTTCACCTGAAGTACAGTAAAAGAAAAAAAAAAATTCCTTTTCATCTGTGAACCTGTGAAATCGAGAATAGAATTTATCTGTTTCCAAAATACAATGGTGGAACAGGCACAAGGTAGACATTTCCATTACAAATGGGAGAAATTGGAGGGAAAGAAGGAATAACAGGCAACAAGCAAGTCCAAAACACAGCAGAACAAATTATATTAGTTCTCGAGACTTGATAATAATCCTCTCTTCTCTGAGACCATCTGGGCGGTGGCCCCACCTTCCAGACTCTGGGAGTTGGCCACATCCTCTGAATTCTGGGTGGAGGCCCCTCTGCCCTGGGCCTCAGCTCCACCTTCCAGGCCCTCCGGGATGGAAACTCGGCTCCCTCAGCTTTAGGCAGACCCATTCTCCTAGTCATCTAAGTGGCAACCTCACCCCGTTGGCCCTGACAGGCCCCATTCTTTTGACCCTTGGGCATGGAAACCCTGCCCTCTCAGCTTTGGGCAGCCGCCCCATCCCCTGGCACACCTTACCAGCAGCTGCACACTCCAGATCTGAGTTGGTGAAGATCTGATTCTTTGAAACCTAGGAGGCTGTGGCCCCACCCTTTGAGATCCAGGAGATTGTGGCCCCACCCTTTGAAATCCCAGCCTTTGAGACCAGGGCAGCTCTGCTTCCTGTGCTCCTTTGAGCAGTTCTGCTGATCTCTGAGCTGCTCCAGGGATAGTCCTTTTCTTTTCTTGTAGGACAATAGATGTGGCGCCTTGGGCCTGTTTCCTGCCTGTAGAATTCCAAGAGGCAGACTGCATTCTTTTCTTTCTCTGTCCCCTTCAGTCTAAGCTGTTGGGTTTTCTGCTGTGGCAGTTGATTAGATCGATCAATCACAGGCTTAATCTCTAACAATAGATCGTGTAGCCACATCCTTAGTTAACGTTCAAGAATAGGTGTCCTTAGTTTGTAAAACAGAATTTCCCAAATCTAAGTTCTGTTTTCAATTTGCACAGTTCATTTTTAAGTCCATCTCTTTCCTCTTGCATTTAACTATAAGTGGCAAGGAGAAAGCATGTGGCCTCTTTAACATCTTGCTTAGAAATCTCCTCAGTCAGATATCCAAGTTCATCACTTACAAGTTCTACCTTCCACCAAACATTTGAACATAATTTAGACAAGTTCTTCACCACTGCATAAAAAGCATTGCCCTTCCTCCATTGTCCAAACACATGTTCATCAGTTTCTTTCAAAGCCTCACAGGAGGTCCATTTAATGTCCACTTTTCTAGCAACATTCTGTTGCTGGCGCCATATGTATTCTCTAAGAGGATACTTTCTCTTTAGCTCTTCTCACTTCCTTCTGAACCCTCATTAGAGTTGCTTTTGATGTCCGTAATTCTACCAACAGTCACTTCAAGGCAATCTAGGCTGTTACAATTATGCATCTTAAAACTCTTCCAGCCTCTACCCATTATCCAATTCCAAAACTGCTTTCACATTTTAGGTATCTGTTAGAGCAGCACCCCACTCCTGGTACCAAATTCTGTTTTAGTTATCTACTACTGCTATAACAGAAATACCACAAACGGGTGGCTTTAACAAATTTATTTTCTCACAGTTTAGGAGACTAGAAGTCCAAATTCAGGGCTTTGGATCTAGTGGA